CACATGTACACACGCACACAGCAATTCATGTGCACACACGTAAACACAAATGCGCACACCCATATACACACGTGTACTTATCGAAATAATTCGCCTTGTGGATTATTATATGTTAGCTTCCTGGCCTTAAAATATGGGGTGGAAAAAGGATTAAGCCTGTCAAACTTGTCACGTCACCTTTGAAAGTGGTCATTGAGATCTACTAAGGCACTTGAAATCTTGGGTCCTAACAACCTTGCAGAGAGACGAGGGATAAGAGCCATCCGTTGTTTTTGCTGTACGTAGGCCAAGAGATTATCAATGATTCTAATTACAATGAAGGTGTGATAGGAGGATATATAAAATGTGAATAGAAAGGGAGATACCACAAGTGTTTAGCACATGTTTGGTCAAAGGATCGGCTTCACTTGTCTCTTTGACAAGTTGTTGTGTGGTGCTAAGAATGGCGATACGACTACGATGCCGGCGAAACGTTTGGGAATGTACCACGTCCACGGTTCAACTTTGGAAATGATCATGCGGACAATGGACCCCGGAATAGGTGCGTTCCAAAAAGTCTTCCTACCAATATGAACATGTTGAGAAAACAAGGTCAAACTACCACTATTATCAATTATTGTTGACTAAAAAAAGTGGAATTAACGAATAATAAGCCTGGTCTTCCTTGAAATTCACATCTGCCCTGACCCAAGGGCACTCGTGGAAATGTGGCCGAGTGGTAACGTGTCAAGCTCCCATTCTGCACTGTCATGGTTCGACTCCCGCTGGGGGTGTTGATAAGACCGATGCGAGGTCTAAACTGCAGTCCACTTCAGCCTGGATGAGAACAACTTTTGGAAAAGCAAGACTATGTGAAATTTAATGGAAACGTCGGCTCTACTCATATCATTGTGGGGAAATTCCACTACCAGTTCTTCATCACCTTAAACGAAATTGGGTGAATACATCTCATATAACAACTAATAGTTGGATTCTCCTACGATGAGGCGAATAGATCTCGCGTTGTCACATAGCCTTGTCTTCCAAAAAGTTTTCTTCGTCCAGTTTAGAAATTGCAAATTTCCCATCAACTCTCCACCAACAGGATTCCATAACATGCTGTAAGTCTTGCGGCGACTTTACAATTCCACTACATACCCGCGGATGTTAGAGAGTCATAGGGCAAAATTGACACCCACAGCAAGTCAGGCCTCATACAAATTTCATTTCTAGTGAGATTGTCGCTTAAGCAAACATGCGTTCGCCAGACCAATTAATTCACAATTCTAATTTTTGATGTACATGGCTTTCGAGGCTATCAGTAATTCATGAATAAGAATTTATATTGATATTGTGAGTATACCCACAATGCTATGGGTAGGCCCCATCATCTCAATGGCATAAATTGCATTTTCAATGAAACACTGGCTACAAGGGATTCGTGAGTTGGCCTGGCAGGAAACCGAGGGAGGATTGCCTTAAATGAGGCCACTTCACAGATCCCTTTTAATCAGCGTTTCCTTCGAAATGAAGAACTAATTCGTGTTACCTCACTCAGGTATCCTGGGTAAACCAGCCTCTTCTCACATTGATATCATCATGTTTTGTCCGCCCAAAAGGTCATCTGTACTGCCTTTTCAACCTCGTATCGCTGTATGATCAACAGCCAAGGAGAATTCGATACCGGGTCGTGAATATCGTAGCGATCTTATCGCTACACTACACAGCTACAGGTGACGGTTTGTCACAGGACAGATGACACCCAAGGCAGTGAAGTGGAGTAGTAATGTCATTACGATGGTACCGAGTTCAATTGGGATTCGGATGTGGCCTAGACGGGCATGCCTGGAGGAGATAGCCTTTTGGGAGGCGAGGACAAGTGAAATGCGTTGGCATCAGGAGGACTATTCATCTGCTTGTGGGAAATCTCATCCTTCAATCCTTGAAATCCAACTACCGCTGGCAGATATTCATTGAAATGTCTATCATAAAGCATGTATACATGTTCAAAATCATTTCTAACAACGGAGACCTACTCGAATGCCATTCGTTTAAGAGATAGAGCGACTTAGCAGAGCAATGCTTAGAAGTGTGTGAAAGGTGCTTATGTATGAATGCGAAGTCGCAGTGGAAAAATGCTATGGAGCTGTGTACAAGACGGTATTCTTTCAACTCCACCTGCCTGTATCTGATTCTGGCGTTGTGTCACTGTGGCTGTTGTGCACGGCTGTATCCTCCTTCCTTTGTGCGGATTGTACTGGTGCTGTGGGTGGAGCTGGTGATGGTGGTGCTGATGGCTCTGGCTGCCACGGATCGCCGACATCCTCATTCTCGTCAGGCTCTGCTGGTGGCGCCGGATGGCTCGGTAGACGATAATGTTGGCCGGGAAAATGATGCAATAGGAGAGTACCGCCTGAGTGACAAAGTCGAAGTAGTCGCGCCATTCTGCCGGAGCCTGGCTGTAGCAGCCCATTCGGCTGTCCAGATCGACGTATCTGAAGACGACCAAATGCTTGGTGAGGATGAGCAAAAGCCCGAGGAGTAGAGCGACTGTGAGGCAGCGTGAGGCATGCTGACAGTAGCCACGTCCAACACGTCGGCAACAGGCCTCTAGACGAGCCTGAAACTGATGCCAGACATCCTCGGACTCAGACGGCGGAAGAATTGGCTGCGATTGGGGCCGGCTCACCGGTCCCGAAGATGAGGTAATCGGCACCGTCAAGTTCGTCAATCCTGCATTGGCGGCAGTGGAAACCGAGCTGGGAATCCGGGGCAAATTGCTGGCAACGGGACTCGAATGTCCGGCTCGAAAAGGTGAAGTGACCGGACAACTTTGTACAGCAGACAAGCGGACTGGCAGGACAACGGGTTGACTGTAACAGCATTTTCCGTACCAACCGAGACTGGGCTTTGTCAGAATGACGTGACGCACCAGCTTAAAGAGGCAGAATAAAGGAATTAGGTGAACTAACGCCAAATCTACACATAAAGACTGGCCATATCTGACATATTCTACTGACTTGCAATCTGTATGTGTTCAGATTGACTAGTTTTGAATGTCATCATTACTGCGTGAAAAAAAAACTGCATACAGCGGCTGATAATGAGTTTCCTATAGGGTCTCTGTGTGGTAACGTGTGAAAAATATATGTGGAAAATGCAGTCCTCCATGGACGAGAATACCTTTTGGTATTCGCAAAAAAATTTTGCAATCAGTCCATGATTATCTTATGCAACCCAGAGTTGATACAGATCTCATTCAAGGCCTACTGATAATATTGGAACCTACTCAATCTGAATATAATTACTGTTGTTAAGTGTAATTTCAAATGCAAATTTTGATAGGTATAGGCCTGACTAGCTCCGAAACTCACGTCTGCTCTCTTATCCACTGTGATCTCTGGCAGTGCTGCGTCGTGGTAATATTGCTAAATTATACAATTTTTATTCGAGATTCTGCCGCCCAGCCTGGAGGAGATCACCACTCGGAAGATAAGGCGACGTTAAATTCAGTGGAATCTTGAGACCTATCTATATCATATGCAACCTAGAGTAAGTAAAGTTATTATCTAAATATGGTCTAGTTTGACCTTATTTTTGAAACTTGATCTTACTGACCAAGGGATCATGCAGATCATACTTAGCCCTGCTTTTTTGGCTGGTAGTCATGATAATCGCCAGAAATTTTCCTTTAATCGTAATTGGGCCTCGTCAGTGAGAAGGCTAGGTCCTGGGGGAAACCGATGGTAAATGTAATATATTTGATTTGAAATAACATTCTCGGTAGTAATAGGAAAAGTAAAGATTCAAAGAAGTGTAGATAGGTAGATTGAAATGGGATTTAATGATAAAAAACAACACCAGAGCTGGGACAATTGGTGAGAAGAGATACCGAAAG